GCTCAGAGAAGGACAGCTGGCTGGCTGGAGCGAGGACCGCCAGGCAGGCGAGGAGAAGCGAAGGCAGCCAGGCAGCGGCGGAGGAGGAGGTGTTGCTTGTTCAGGAAGAATGGTCAGAATGAATCTCAATGGAGAGACAGAGCTTATATACCTAGCAGCAGCCGCCAGTCCTCTATGAATCATGTTGGGAAAACCCGAGAAGTCGCCGGTCTTTTGGCTCGGTTGCTAGGATACGGCGGCATTGGAATGCGGATACGCTTGGTTGCTAGGGGAGACGGTAGCAGCTGGTGGCTGTGGCTACGCAGTTGTAGGCAGTTGTAGGGGAGAAGTCCACTACAGTCTTCCGGTGTTTCCCTTTTCCTGTGTGGTTTTATCAATAATATATATATATATATATATATATATATATATATATATATATATATATATATATATATATATATATATATATATATATATATAACGGTTTCTTCTTTGTAACAGTAGTATATCATATTAACCTAACCTAACCTACCTTTACCAACTGTGTATCTGTTGAGGTGACTGTTAGTGTGTATAACAGTTACTTGTGAAACTGTCATATATGTTATAACCTAACTAGGTTGTCACTACTTGTAATAATCACTTTAGAAGCACGTTACCTTATATTTTAGACTTACTAAAATATAGATCAAAATTTATTGGATCTTCTGTAGTGAAATCCAATGTGTTCCTTTTCTGTGTTTATTATAAAAGGTTTCTATGTACACTTTTAAAAAGGAGTATCACTGTAACTTAATCACTGTAGCTATGAGTGTTAAATGAGGACGGAGGCTATGTTAAATAGGTTTTCTAAAATACGTCCTGTTGGGGTGAGGGGTTGAGTAAGAGTGCCTGTAATACCCGTCGAGGGAGAACGGAAATATATCAGACGTCCTCCCTCGAGGGAAGACAGAACCATCCACGATGGCTCTCAATAATGTCTTCCTCTAGTCAAGGATATCAAACTACTGCCCGCATTATATGGCCAGAGAGCCGGTTACTCAATGCCTTTGCTCAGCACTAAGTGACGCGATTTCTTATGGGCACACGTTAACACGTGCTCTGAACATGCTACCTCATAGCTCGTGTATATATATATATATCTCGTGTATATTATTAGACATGTGAAAGTTTTCATTGTGGATTTACATGAAATATATATATATATATATATATATATATATATATATATATATATATATATATATATATATATATATATATATATATATATACACACACAAAAGTCATGCGCCGGTTAACGTCCATCCGAACAACGTCCGATCGCATATACATCCGTGGCCCATGAAAATAATATGGGAAAAAAACCCGTTCAGGCAACGGGACGTAGCAGATGTAAGTGGCCTTAGAGCGGGTGCGGTCACGCATGCATCGCGTGTTCTTACAGATTGTGCTGCCAGGCGTATAATGATACAGTACAGTAGCTATACAGTATATCCATAATATGTTTTGATAGATATAAGAAATACCTATGTTACTGGTTTATGTTTTTTGGCTATTGTAGTGTACAGTACAGTACTTTTAATTTGATTTCCTTACTTACAAAATAAAAAGTTTACAAACTGTATAACAGTTTATGCTTTGTTTTGGCTCTCGGCAGTGCCGCAACATCGTCAGCATCCAGTCCTGATTACCTCCGCGTATCATGAGTGTTATTACATTGTCTTTTCATTTGATTTTATTAAAATCAATCCACCCTAAAGTTAATCATGGATCCCAAACGCAGCTCAACCAGCCCTAGTGGTAGCAGCAGCAAGAAACAACGCAAGAGCATTGATTTGGAGAAGCAGAAAATAATAAGACCGCATGATGGCGGTAAATCTGTGAATGCCATCGCACGTGATTTCGGCATGTCGCACTCTATGATCGCGACGATAATGTAAAACAGAGAGAAGATTCTTGAAGTGGTTAAAGGATCGGCTTCAATGAAGGCAACAAGAATGACCAAGTTTCGAGAGGGGCTGATATCGAGTATGGAAAAGATACTGATGACCTGGATTGAAGATCAGACTTAAAAGTGAGTCCCAATCAGCACGCTAACCATCACCGCCAAAGCAAAAAGTGTGTTCAAGATGTTGAAGCAACAAGCAGGAGCCGACTACGACAGAGTTTTCCGCAAGCTCTGGCTGGTTTAAGCGCTTCAAACATCGTTATGGGCTTCATAACGTCAAGGACAGCGGCGAGTCGGCGAGTGCGGATTCTACAGCAGCAGCGGAATTCATCGATACCTTGGACCAAGGTAGGTAGTGTACTGCGCACATCATTGTCATTCCTAAAAACCCCATTTAATTCATATTACACTATATAGCTTTCAAATCCACCGCACTTGTAGAATCTCAGAAAACGGGAAACATTGATAAAGGATAACTCACCTACTCAATGTTACTAGATCATGTGTTGTATTGTACCCAGGTACAGTTATATAATATTAATTGTATGTATTCATAGCATTAAGGAGAACTCAGGGTATCCATAAGATGAATGTTAAAGTCCAGCTGAACCGGACTAGTGTACTGTAGGACTAAGTGTGGACCATGGCTTGAGGGTCATACTATTTACGTCTGTGAACATGTAGCGAACATAACTTCCACAGATATCATATGAAAATACATGAGAACAATGATCTGGAAAAAGGATAAATGCATCAGTACTAAGTGAGGTGTTGGAAGTGACCCAGAAACTATACTTGAAAGGAAATATCTTTTATGCATCGGTGTGAACTTAATACACCTCGTATCCTCACGTGACATATACCCACGACATGTACAGTGATCAGAGAATCTTATGCCTGTGTTCAAATAGTGCAATGGGCGAGAGGAGGATCCCTAATTACAGTTTTAAGTGAAGTGGATATACCCACGCCATGAACATTCGGCCTTTGTTTGGGGAGCGTCCTGTACCCGCCTCGAGAGTGCCGCGTTGATATTATAGCCCAATGAATTTACCCACGAACTAGCAAACCAAGACCTTACCTTAGTGTGTAATTTAGGATTAAAATATGTGTTTATAAGGCATGAGTGACAATATACCGGAAAGTGTTCAGGTGAGAACCGTAAGAAACAAAAGTAAAAATTAAAGATTAGAAACTGTAGGCCTACGCGGTGAAGAGCGGCGGGGCACTGCACTCAGTACCCTCCGTTCTCTCGTCACCTCAGGTCAGTGTTCCTATCGGGCTATATCTCGCCCTATAATTAAGGCTTATATAGAAGTTATTACAGTTTAAAGCTTTGCCTGATGTATAAGTGTAATAGTAATATGTTAGGGTGTGTGATAACCGCCCGTCAGGCATTATTTCTCAATACCCTCCGTTCTACCGTCACCTCAGGTCCCATGCGGTCGGAGTCGGCAGCCATTGTCCCTATGAGCGTCTCACCAGGTGGTGACTACTCCCAGCTATGCCAATCCACTGTGAACCCGTGGATTCCCAGCACACCACTCCAAATGAGTGGTAACAAATAAGGAGACCGTGAGAAACTCCGCGGTCGTCACTTGGAGCGACCTATAATACCAGGCGTAGAAATAGTACTGGTATGTCTCTTGGTGAAGCCCTCGTCTTTACCCACCGAGGACGGTGTGCGAACGAGGTGCCTGTTATGTATACCTAAAAGTTACAAGGTGTCTCATACCTGCAGGTGTGGAGTGTAACAGGTGTGTTGAGATGGTGCTACTATGTATGATAACCGACGGTGCTATATTCCATACAGGTGGAGCAGTCTGATGTGTTAAGGGGTAGTGTAAGAAGGAATGACCGAGGTAAGGTGGTCACAGATTGTTATGCAATAAGTATGTGGATGACACGCCATTAATGTAAGACGTCTGGTGCCGATCTGGGTAACCAACATTTTCGTTGTTCTTCTGAGGAAGACCAATTCATTTGTATGTTTTTTACCAGTATGCTTTATTAGGAATAAATCAATTAAGACATGTTATGGTTTCACCCTTCTTTCCCCTTATCGATCTGGTCAATGGAAAACCTAACCCAATGCCTAGTCCACTCTGCCCGCTACCTAACGAGTTACATGCTGTCCAGAGGGGATCTGGTGGCAGCGACCCTTAGAAATTAAGATTAGAGTTAAGTATTTACCCTTAGTATTAGTGACCCCCAGTCTGGCAGTATAGTAGATACCAGGTAGCCTCACTCCCATAGGATCTACGCTAGTGAAAATAAAAATGAAATTTTTATTTACGTATTTTTGAAGGCCTATGATGGTATTAAAAGTTGTACAATAAATGTATGGAATGGAGATTTTTTGTTTTATTTTAATTGGAGCCACTGATTAAATATCTAAAATAAATATAAATATCTTACTTGCGACGCTTGCGACCGCTGGATTCCATCCAACGTCGCTGATTGGCTAGCGATGACATCACTTATTAAGCTCCGCCCACTTAGTTACAGCAAACAGTAGAAGCAGATAATAATACCTCAATATTACAAACGCATGAAGTGGCAAAAGGGGCGTGGCTTAGCGATCTCGAGAGTAGAGTTGCCAATTAGTGAATTCCTATGGGCCTTCGTGAGGCTACCTGGTATCTACCTACCTTGCCTTGGACAAGCTTATCGTCGAGGGAGGATATTTGCCCCAGCAAATAATTAATATGGACGAAACCTCCTTGTTTTGGAAGAGGATGCCCGAAAGGTCATTCAAAAGACAAGGAGGCCAAGTCGATGCCAGGCTTTAAGGCATTCAAGGACCAAGTGACTGTGATGTTGGGGGGGGTGGGGGGGGAGTGTTGCCGGATTCAAGTTGAAACCTTTTGTGGTGTGGCATAGTGAGAACCCCAGGGCTTTTAAAAAAATCAACAAACATACGTTGCCAGTGTATTATAGAGCCAACCAAAAGTCATGGATGATGCAAGCATTGTTCCAGGATGCCCTTCTCAACTGCTATGCTGGTGACCTCGAAAGATACTGCACAGAAGAAGGATAGAGTTCAAAATTTTGTTGATTTTGGACAATGCTCCAGGTCACCCCCTTCATTGGTGACCTCCACCTCAACATCAAAGTGGTTTTCCTGCCGCCAAATACCACCTCTTTGATTCAGCCTATGGATCAAGGGACTATTGCATCTTTCAAGTCCTACTATCTCAGGAGGCCCTTTGCAATGGCTATTTCTGCAACGGAGAATGACGAGAAGACACTGAAGGAGTTTTGGAGAGAAAACACCATGTACCACTGCATCAAGAACATTGCTTGGGCCTGGGATGATGTCACAAAGCAATGTATGAACGGAGTGTGGAAAAAAGTCTTGAAGAGATATGTGCACAATTTCAAGGGTTTTGAAACGGTCACAGAACTTGAGAAAATTACGAACAATCCTGTGAACATGGCAAACGAGCTGAACCTCGGCGTAGATGACGACGATATAGAAGAACTGCTAGACGTTGTTCCTGAAGAACTAACCAACGAAGAGTTGTTAGAGTTACAGGAACATCGAATAGCTGAAGAAAAGGAAAGGGAAAAGGAAAGTGAGGAGGAGGAGGTGGAGGAGATACCGAAGAAGTTCGCCGACCTTAACACTCTGCTGAAAAGTGCCGAAGAGATGTACCCCAACACTGAACGCTTCTCACTCATAGAGAGGAATGCACATGCAGTGTTTGCCGCATATCGTCAAATCTACGAGGAGAAGAAACAGCTGACAAAACAAAAACACTCGACATAATCATAAAAAAAACAAGTCATCCCCGCGACGAACCTCAGCCAGGCCCCTCACACGCTACAGATGATATCGTCATTGAAGCTGCAACTCAGGAACCTGTATATCAAATTGATAGTAGTGACAGTGATGTTGATGATCCAGGAATGGCTTAAAAATTGTGTAATGTATATGTAAATTGTATAATTAAGTTAAATAAGTGATATATAAAATTTAATTTTCAAAGTAAAACGTAAGAAAAGTCCATCAGATTTAAGGATACGATACTGCATCTACTTCTCAATCAGTGAACAGTGTAGTGTTTAATTTTACTTTACTATACTGTACTGTACCTGTTTTACTGTATGTATATTATACCTGTATTTTTTTACTACATTATACAGGTATTCCCTGACTTACGACTGCCTCAACTTACGTCCATCAGTACTTACGACCTGCTCTGACCTTACAACCGTCGGGACATACGACCGCCGCAGTCGTGACCAAATTTTTTTTTTTTTTCAAATGACGCGCACATTTTCTATACCGAAACGAAACATTTCCAGTTAATGTAGTCTCCATGTAAAATTAGAAAATTACGGGGCCCCATGTGCATTCAGCTGACTACATGGCAAGTTATTCGGCAGGCAAAAAACTTAGCAAGGAGCGAGGCATTTCGGGATGTATTTATTCACCCAGACCGCACGGGAATGCAGAGGGAACAGCACAAGAAGCTCCTGCAGGACTTGAAGCAGAAGAGGGAGGAGTCGAGGAGGAACGGGGACAGGTGTACATGGGTTATACTCAGGGGGAGGGTAGTGGAAACAAGTGTGCCGACACAGGGCCAGGGGGCAGCAGTGCACCCTCCACCCACTCAACCCCCCACCCGGGAGGCGGCACCAGCTCAGCCTACCGGACAGGAGGGAACGAGCGCCGTGTAAACAATAACATTTCTAACCACACCCTGCAAAATACAGTGTAAGGGCAGAAACGATCCTCCGGCTAGTTACCGCTGCTAACTCGCTCGTTTGCTGGTGCAGACGACACTTAGGGTGGTTGGACGGAGGTGATAACGGCAGCGACTATCTCCGCCACGAGCAGATTCAACCCAGCCGCCATACCGTCAGTATCTAGCTACCCTGCTGTCCGTCAAATTCTGGTTGTGATCTCATCATAGGTCGTGGGCTGTGTTCCCAGACCTTCACCTATCAACTGCCAACTCTCTGGTCATCTACCACTACCGCATACCACGACCATCAGTTCCTCACATTCCGTCGGTGCCCCGGTGTTCTCCTTCCTTTTCAAGACGTTGCTGAGTGTGGAGCGAAGTGGACGCTTCCCTGCCCTGAGTGTGCATCACCGCGTTCCAGAACCTTCCCCCAGGGCCACTGCCGTAGGAAATATTTGTTCATTGTTTGATTCCATTAATTGCTGACTCCCCTTTATTGTTCGATTCTATCAATTGTTGACTCCCATTTAATTGTTTGATTCCATTAATTGCTGACTCCCCTTTATTGTTCGATTCTATTATTTGTTTGATTCCTTTAAGTGTTTGCTTCCTTTAATTGTTTGACTCCCGTAATTATTTGATGTTTGTTGAGTGGTGTCAGAGTTTTGTTATATTTTATAGTAAAGAGATGCCAATCTCTAACGGTTGTTTATTCCTCGAGAAAAACCATGGTCCTTGACTTTCTATATTAAGATCCTGATTAGCCTGGTAAGGATTTCTATCCTAAGTCAGGCCTTACAAGCACAAATTAGCGACCTTGCCAGGGGTGTCTCTGACCTTTGGTTTCTGAGGTTTAACATTCATTCCGGTGTTGTTGTAAGTCGCCGTGGTATACCTTGCTGTCTGTGGCCGGGCAAGTGTTGTTTGGTGCTCCTTCTTCTGTGTGCTGAATTTGTTTGCCTCCTTGTGCGTGGGGAAGTTGAGGTGAGTGTTGGTTGGGGTGCACTGTGGATGCTGTCATAGCATATATGTTGTTGTTGTTTCACCTGTGGTGCGGTTTCGTTACCTGAGGGTGATTCAGCTGGGCTGGGTGGAACGAAGGTTCCCTCAGTCGGATGTCATTTACTGGTTTGGTTGAGCCACTGATGATTACCTTTGTATTGCGGGGTAAGTTGTTTGTTTTCCCTTTGTTCTTAGCCTTTTGGATCATTATGTCTGCTTTTGATGTGGAAGGTCAAGCGGTAACCGGGTCTGACAGGTAATGACATTGGTCGTATGTGGTCACCCAACAGAATGCCGAGAGAGGAACGTCCAGAGAGCGAGAGGAACGTCAGAAAGAGAGAGGTGGAGGGCAGGAAAAGAGAGTTCAGGTGGCTAGGATTTGCGGGCAGAAGGACCTAGAACTGGCTGGGATTAGTAGCCAAGTAGACCAGCCTCACTCTGGCCTTATACAGGACAATGTGGTAAAGCCCAGCTTTGCCTGTGTGCAAGTGAAGGAGAAGACATCGCCTCCCTACCTTGTCGGAGTTTGAGCGGGTAGCTGAGCTGCTTGGTGTAGCCCCCAGATAGCTATGCTGTAAGGTTGGGTAGCCTACTGAGTGGTAAGCCAGTAGAAGGTTACACGTCCCTGTCTGCCGGTTGAGATTACTTTGCTTGTTGAAGCAAGCTCTCTTGCGAGATTTTGCAAGACTTCTGACGGTTATCGTGCTGATTTTCGCAGAACGAAGATTAGAGAGGGAGAAACGTACCAGCAGTTTTCTAGGATTACCCCTGGGTCGTTTTATTTCAGCAATGGCTGGAGCATCAGGGTTGAAGAAACCTTTGGGTCTCTCTCTAATTCATGATATTAGATCAGTTTTGTCTTCTCTGCCTCCAGACTTGAGGTACATCAAGAACATCGCCAGCATGACGCTTGGAGCTGTGCATCTTGCCATTAACTGGGCGTCTGCTCGCAGCACCTGCCCCAAGTCTTCCCCTCCTGGTAAAGATTGCAGCCTCCGTCACTCCGAGAACCATCCCCAGGAGTACACAAGAGTAGTTCACCAGCCGTGCAGTGTCACAGCTGCGGAGGAGAAGGGTACATTCGTTCTCCTTTGTCCCAGGAATCCCTCGCCTTCAAGACTGCTGACACTCAACCCAGCAACAAGGTCGGATTCTGTTGTTTGGAGGTCGAGAGCTGCCCCGTTGTGTGTCAGTGGAGACATCAATGGAGTCTAGAGGCATCTACTTTCATCAGGGACACTGGTTGCTCGTGCATTATTGTCTCTGAAGAAGCCCTGCCTGACAGCACGGCATCTCCAGCTGCCCGAAGGTTGGAGTGTCGCCGATTGGCCCCAGGTCGTCGGCCAGTTCCTGTTGTTAGGTGCTACCTGCGTTGCCCCTATTTCACTGGTTGGTCTAATGTGTCAAACTCCCATTAAATGTGCAGTACCCTCATTGGTAATATTTCCCGGTGTTCGTGAGCCTAACGACCCGGAAACGTTAAAAACTCTCCTCGCCACAGCACTAGTCTCTGCCACCAGCACCAGTCCCACGCCACCTGCACAGGGACGACGACTCGCCACCTGCCGAGGTCGCCTCGCCACCCTCTCACGCCGCCACGCCTGCCGCCAGGTCCAAGCTGTAGGCCACAGACGGCGAAAGGTGGCTGACCGCATCCCTGATTCTGCCAATTTGTTGCCACTGACTGTGACGCCAAGGTTCGCCAAGCTTCGAATGTACTCTAGGCTTGGAGTAGAAGGTGACTTCAGGAGAGATCCAGGTGAGAAGATGGGTCGTTTTATAAGTTTCTGTTTTCTATTAATATAAGAATTGTTACACAGGTCTTGTGTTTCATCAAGCGACCCTTCATGGGTCGGTTTTACTTGTTGTCCCTGCTGTTTGTCGTAGTAACATTCTCTCTGCTTAGCTCACAGGCTCTCTTGTAAGTCACTGTTCTCGTAGAAAAACTTATAGGAAGGTTGCTGATCAGTTTTACTGGCAGGTATGGGGAGCGGATGTTAGAGCTTTTTTGTAGGAGTTGTGATCCAGTGCCACGTATGTCCGCCAGGGTAGAGAGTCGTCCTGTTTCACTTGAGCCATACCCATCGTTGCAGAACCTTCTTCTCAGGTAGCCATAGGTTTTGTTGGTCGGTCTCACCCCCTTCCTCTAAGCCTAGAAATTACATCAGCTATTTGTTAAAAACAATATAATTGCAGGACCCACGGCCGCCGTGTCACTTGACGTGACCCCCAAGCTGGAGTTAGTGAGGCACACCTGCAGGATTCCCGTGAAGTTCGGACACCAGTCTGTTGATCTCAATTTGCAGTTGCTGCCAACACCTGACGAGATAGAAAGAATCCTCTACGAAGCAGGAAATAATTTAAACTTAAACTTGGACTGAAGTGGGCTACGTGCAGTTCCTTGATACGGCCTTCGTTTTGGACATCAAGTTTCCACCTATTCTTTTTCTATGACCTTTCTTTTTGTACAATGTGTATTTAAGCATTTGTTGTAGATGATTATGCTTTGTGTACTAATCTTGGGTTTTATCTACTGCCACATTGGAATTTTTGTTGAAACAGTAGCAGGAGCGAAGCGATCACTCCCGGCTGAATTACCGCTGCTATTTCAACTCGTTTGCTGGTGCGAACGGCACTTAGGAGTAGTTGGACGGAGAGTGACCAACGGCAGCGGCTTCTCTCCGCCACGAAACAGGTGCTTAGCCGCCATACCGTCAGTATCTAGCTACCCTGCTGTCCGTCCAAATTCTGGCTGTGATCTCATCACTTGGGTCCTGGACTGTGGGCTGTGTTCCCCAGACCTTCACCTATCAACTGCCAACTCTCTGGTCATCTACCACTGCTGCATACCACGACCATCAGTTCATCACATTCCGTCGGTGCCCGGTGTTCTCCTGCCTTTTCAAGGCGTTGCTTTGAGTGTAGGCAAGTGGGCGCTTCCCTGCCCTGAGTGTGCATCACCGCGTTCCAGAACCTTCCCCAGGGCCACTGCCGTAGAAATATTTATTCATTGATTGATTCCATTAATTGCTGACTCCCCTTTATTGTTCGGTCTATCATTTGTTGGCTCCATTTA